CTCACATCAAAAATTGCTAACTGACTACACCAAGGCAAGATTAATAAACTATCCCTGGTTCCAAATCAGGCAACCATTTGGGGCCTAGCAATCAAGTTTACACGTCCTAAACCGGCACATGCTCCCTCTAGGTCGAATTAGCACCGGACTCGCGAAATCTGATTTATTGTACAAATTCCATTTCATACCTTTTCTCATTTCCCTTTCCTACCATGCCATGCATATGCATCAATCTCATCAATTTGATTTCAATTTTACTAAGATAGCAACAATGACATGAATATGACATTCTCGGGTAAATCAACTTAACATGGCATTTCATAGAAATTGAATACAACAATAGCATTTTCTACAATAGAGTCACAAGCATGACATCCTCATTTGATTCAATCACAAGCATCCTCCTCATCAAAATCATATCATTACAAGTCATGCTAACATTCATTATTCAAGTACTTTGCACCAAAGCCATGTTATACACAATTTTAGCATGAAAAGAAATACATCTTTGGACCACACACTAGCCTGCTTTCTTTAATTCAAAATGCCATCATTTTAAATCACAAATTTACATACAAACACTACAACAAACTGTGCCTTTTGCGACCAAACTGAAAAAGTCGCAAATACAACCACATTTGCGACCAAAATGAGTTGGTCGTAAAAGTTAACATATTAGCGACTAAAGTAAATTTTGGTCGCAATTGATAACCACATTAATGACCAAAATAAATTATGGTCGCAAAAGGATTACTTTTTAACGATTAAATTTTATAGTTGCAAAATAATCAAAGTTTGGTCGCAATTGGCAAAAATATTAACGACCAAACTAAATTATGGTCACGAAAGAATTTCTCTTTTACGACCAAATTTTATGGTAGCAAAATGATAAAAGTTTGGTCGCAATTGGTCAAAGAATTAACGACCAAAATAAATTATGGTCGCGAAAGAATTGATCGTTTATGATCAAATTTTATGGTAGCAAAATTATCAAAGTTTGGTCACAATTGGTCAAAGTATTAACGACCAAAATAAATTATGGTCGTGAAAGAATTCATCATTTACGACGAAATTTTATGGTCGCAAAATGATCAAATTTTGGTCGCAATTGGTCAAAGTATTAACTACTAAAATAAATAATGGTCGCGAAAGGGTTAATCTTTTACGACCAAATTTTATGGTTGCAAAATGATCAAATTTTGGTCGCAATTAGAGATGGTATTAACGACCAAAATAACTTATGGTCGCAAAAGGATAAATTTTGTTGTAACTTCTAAATTTTTTGTAAAATAATATGTCAACTAATTAATGACTCGACAAAAATGTCATTAATTGCAAGATGGACAAATTGGTCATTTATTGTTTCAAGCTTAATTAATTTGTAAAAATGTCAATATAAGAAAAATATAAAGAAAATTATGAATATATATAATTACTAAGTGTTTTATTAATTCTCAATCTAAAATGACATGTACCTTAAATATTTTAATAAATAACTATTGTTAGTTAATAAAAATACTAAAAAATACCAACAGGCCTGTGGCTTAGCAGTACCAACCCCTACTTCCCAAATAGAGGTCAGGGATTCAAATCTCAGTGGAGGCATGTATGTGTTAGTACCAATTAGGAAAAAAAAAATATAAAAAAATATATTATGGAGTATATTTTTAAGAGAATTGACTAAGGTTTAAATATTGAAAATTTTAAGAGCGATACCAACATTGCAATCACTATTATTTTATTTTCTTTAAATATATTATTGTATAATTAGATTTTATTTTATTAAAAAAAGTCATTTAGATATTGTGATAGAGTTTTATAGAAAATAAAATAGCTAATTTGTGGTAGATTTTATAGAAATTATTTTATTTTGATATCAATTAAAAAATATTTTTTATATTAATAATTCTTGTCTAATTAAATTTTTTTTATTAAAAAACTCATAATAAATAGATAAATAGGTAATTTGTGTTAGAGTTTTATAGAAATTCTTTAAAAAACTCTTTTTATATCAATTAATAATTATTAAGAATCATTCTTGTCTAATTAGATTTCATTTTATTAAAAAAAAACTCATAATAAATAGATAAATAGGTAATTTATAATAATTAATAAATATTTTTAATATTAATAAATAAATACTGAAACACTGAAACTCTTTATATTTTTAATAATTTGTATATTTTATTTATATGAATTATTATATATATTATATATTTTCTTTAAATATATCTTTCTCTAATGTGATAGAGTTTTATATAAAATAGAATAGGTAATTTGTGGTAGAGTTTTATAGAAATTATTTTATTTTCTTTAAATATATCATTGTCTAATTAGATTTCCTTTTATTAAATAACTCATAATAAATAGATAAATATAGGATATATGTGATAGAGTTTTAAAGAAAATTAAATAGGTAATTTGTGGTAGAGTTTATAAAAATTATTTTATTTTCTTTAAATATAATCATAATAAATAGATAAATACAAGTTATATGTGATTCAGTTTTATAGAAAATAAAGTAGTTGATTTGTGGAAAAATTTTATAGAAATTATTTTATTTTTTTTAAATATATTATTGTCTAACTTGATTTTATTTTATTAAAAAAGTCATAATAAATATATATTGCGATAGAGTTTTATAGTAAATAAAGTAGCTAATTTGTGATAGATTTTATAAAAATTAATTTATTATATTATTAAAGTATAAAGAGTTTCAGTGTTTCAGTATTTCATTATTTATTAATTAATATAAAAATATTTATTAATTAATATAAATTACCTATTTATCTATTTATTATGAGTTTTTTAATTAAAAAAAATCTAATTAGCCAAGAATTAATAATATAAAAAAAATAGAAAAAAAAATTTAAATAGAAAAAAATATTTATTAATTGATATAAAAAGTGTTTTTTAAAGAATTTTTATAAAATTCTAACACAAATTACTTATTTATCTATTTATTATGAGTTTTTTAATATAAAAAAAAATCTAATTAGACAAGAATTATTAATATAAAAAATATTTATTAATCGAGATAAAAAATAAAATAATTTATCTACAACTCTAACTATGGGCATCTTTACCTCTTACACCTCCACCCTCTAACGATGGCCATCACCCTTCTCTCTTAACCTTCTACCACCACCTCTCTCTTCACCTACCACCATATATATGGATGCATATACCTTGGTAAGGCTATGCACCTAAAACCATATGTATAAATCTAATTTAAACAAGAACCAATATATCGATCCAAATACACTCGTGAATAAAAAAATATATATATATGCATATGTATAATCACACATTGCTCTTCTTGGTTGAAAATTCTTTAATTTTTTTTCAATTAATTTTTATCATGTTGATTTATTTTGAGGGCGGATTAATATTCCAAAAAATGCAAAACAAATTATTTAAAGGAATGGACAAATACCGCCTTAATTAGTTTAATGCGATTGCCAAATACATTTATTAGTAATTGTTAGTATTTATTTTTTTATTAGCAAAATAAACACACATTACTCACACTCACTTTGCCCCTTTGGGTACTCGAACCCTCACCATCCACTTTGAGTGATATCTTGGAATTGAATGTCCTAAACTAAAAAAAAAAAATTGTTTTTTTTTTAAGGAAATTTAAATATTTATAACTTTTTTAACAAAATGTTTTTACTTTAGATAAATGTTGAATTTTTTTTTTCTTATTTTTCGCATAATGGCCAATGTTAAAACATAAATTATATATTAATTAAATACATTATATAATTAAATTTTTAAAAAGTGACAGTCTCTATAAATACATTTATGAGTAATAGCTAATAATTAAACTTTTCAAACATTCTTTACAAATATATATTTCAATCAATTATAATTTTATAGCAAGTCACGCTAACTTTTTCATCATCGATCATTGAGTAAAGTTATTACTAATTGATCAATTTATTAGCAAGCAGGGACGGAGCCAATGAACGCCTAGGGGGGCACGTGCCCCCCTGAGTTGGGCCGTACTTTATAATATATGTGGTAATTTTTTTTAATTTTTTCCATATATATGAAAAAAATTATACAGTGCTCTCCCTAAATTTTGTGGTTTCTAAAATTATCTCTTTATTTTTTCTTTATTCTCTTTAGTCTTTAAATTCCTTAAATTTCTTTAATAGAAAAGTCAAAATTTCCTTCTTCAATTAATTTTTTTTTAAAACTTTTTCTTTTTAAAGTTTTTTTTTTTATTTTTATTTTTCTACTTCTACTCTTAAAATTCTTATTTTTAATGGTTTTTTTTTTTTTTTTGATAGCGTGCCCCCATCACTTGAAATCCCAACTTTTCTATCATCGATCATTGTGTACATAATAAGATTCATTGAATTATATCCATTGCCTTTGGATTAATGACAGATGATTTTATAAGAACTAATTTTCTAAGGTAATTGATATAACAAAAAATTATCCTAAGAACATCACCATGTAAAATAATAATAATAATAATTAATCATGAAATTTTTGTATACCAAGGGTTCAAGTCTCCAATGAAAAAATAAAATAAAATAAAATTTCTATGAATTGTACCTTGAATCAATATCAAGATTGAAATATTCTTAATTGAAATTGATTAAATTATACAATGATCTGGTAAAACTAGCATGACAATTAGTTAATATTGAAGAAATTGTAGGTCTTAAAAAAAAAAAGAAGATAATTTTTAAATAATAATTACAAAAAATGAAAATCTATATTTCTATTTTATTTTATAAGTAGATGAATAATTTATTTTATTAAATTAAGGAACAAATCTATTTTAGGACTTAAATAAAAAATATCAAAAATAATATTTATCAGTATATGTAAGTATCTACTTATTATTATTATTTTTATATTAACAGCATTTAATTTCTCATATATATTTTACTTTTTATACATCTTTTCACTAAATTTTAACCGGGAAAAAAAGGCGGTGAACTTAATTAAGTATTTTTCATTTCCCTGATACCTAGGGAAGGCCCACTTCATTCTCAGTATTCATGGTTCAATTCATGAAGGGCTCAATGGCGATCTGCACGAGGTGAACAATATTCGTGTCTTCATTTCTTCCTCTTCATCGTTATACAAGGTTTTCATCACAATTTCATCTTTTCCTAACAGATTACAAGGTTTTCATTGGTGATCCTCAACAGTAGAAGGATATATCTGCTATTATCATATTTAAAAGTAAGTTCTCTTGTCTTCACTCTAAGTTCCCTTGCCTTCACTCCTCTCTTTTTCTTCAGATCTTCATTGTTGCACAAGGGTTTTAGATTGTATTTTGAAAACCCCCTATTCTAATTGTAGATTATAGATTTTGTTATTTGATAATCCCTATTCTAGTAACCATTCTAGGGTTTAACGGCCGAAGTCAATAAAATAATTAAGATGGTAACATGGTGCATGCTAATCTCTCCCTCTCTCTCTATATAAATAAATTAATTAATTAAAGTTAAGAGAATAATCTCTCTCTAATCTCTCTGTAATCTCTCTCTCTCTGTAGAGAAACAAAACTTTACTTAATTTGCATCTTGAAAAAGCTAAAAATGATAGTATATAATAAGAATTGGTAATTGAGAAGATTTTTACAAATTGTAAAAAAGTAGTACTATTGCATGTTAATCACTGATAAATCTAACACTTGAAGTCTCTTGTAAATGGGATGAGTAGAGGAAGGAAAGTGAAACCAAGCAAACCATTTGACTCTCTTGATGATAGTTTTAGAACAAAGGAAACTGTGACAGAAGATGGAAACTAGTGCTATATATGATCCTTTATATATATATCTATGGTGCATGATGAGTTTTCTTCATCTTTTGATTTCAAACCCAGTTCTGTTTGGAATACTATTCTGCCAAGTTATGCCACTATAATTTAAAGGTAAAGTGGAAGCTTTACACTCTCATCAACAGCTCATAAATCATAATGTGTTGTGTAGATAGAGATGGATACCAAGTGTTATGTCATTGTAGTAACATTAGTAGATATCCTGTGAAAATGATGATGTAAAGATGGCCATGCTTAGCAACTAGTGTGTGTAGTCCACACAATTTGTGCTTGTAGTTGGCCAACATGTTTAACCTTGGTGAAGCTTCACTCCCCATAATTCTCATAGCTTGTGCCTGTAGTAATGCAACTGCAACTTCACTCCCCACTTCCTAGAATTATAAGCTTCTTAATTTAACAATTATCTGATAACTAATGTCCAAGTTTCTCTTAGCTAATCATTTTTTCATTGTTTTCACACACACTTATTTGATTTTTCCTTTTAAATATGAATTTGGGATGTTATTTAAGCATAATAAATTTCTATGTTTAGCAGGTTCTGACGGTGGGCTATAAACACTGCTTGAGACAAGGGCGCTGTTATCGTGACTTCCTTTTATTCAAATTGTTGCTCTGGTTTGTTGGTTTTCATTCAATTATATTTTTATTGTGTTTTGATCATTTTTATTTAAACTTTTTTTATTGTCAACATATAGGCTAATGCTTAACTTTGCATATTACATGTTTCTCTATGGACATTCATTATTGTTTCTCTATTACAAGTAGATAATTTTCAAGTTAGTGGGATTCAGTGGTCTTAATATGAGTTGTTGAATTTAATGGGATGAATTGTTATAACAAAAATTTATATCCATTCAAAATTTGCCTGTAAATGACATCATGCTTTAAGAAATAGACAAATCTATTTAATAAAATTAGTCTACGAAAAGAGTTAAAAATAGGCTCCAGGGAACCTTTCTCACATTTTTGTTTTTTATTTCTTTAATGTGTTCTATATTTTTAGAATTCTTAAAAAACTTAAGAAAATTAAATTACATATATAATTCCTTTAAAGCACAAATATACTTGAACATACATATATATAAGAAATTGGATGCGCACTCTGTTATATATGAATCTGACTGGCGGGATTTAGTTTATGGATGGCTTTATTGAACGTACTAGTCTCACCCTATATCCCTTTTCCCAGTCTAAAATTATCTAACTTGTTAAGCCACAAGTTGAAAATAGTAGGATTCATGATACAATTACCGATTTTTTTTTTATAGGGAGCTAGATATGGATAAGAGTTGGATCTAATATCCGCATAGGTATTCTACAACATATATTAAAGGACTTAGAGAATTCATTCGGTTGGCCCGTTCCCATACAGATGGAAGCAATAGGTCAAGATGTCCATGCCGTATATGTGTGAACTTGATATTAATGCCAATTGATGAGGTCGAGGACCATCTATTCACATTCGGAATGCATAGAGATTACATCCAGTGGGAATTTCATGGAGAGGAACAGGGAACGGAAAATGACAATTTTGATGATGATGATGCTATTGATAGTAATTATGTTACAGATAGTGAAGAGGAAAGTGATGGGGTAAATGAATTGGTTGAAGATGTTTTCATGGAGACACGTGTTCCAGATGTGCAACAAGGAGAAACATCTAACAGTCGTGCACCTGTTGTGTTGGAAGAGGAAGTAAGATATGAAAATTTTGAAAGATTATTGAGAGATGCACAACGTGAACTATATCCTGGTTGTCTTAAGTTTTCAAAATTATCTTTTCTATTGAGGTTGTTTCATTTAAAGGTCTTTGGTCGTTGGAGTAATAGATCATTTAGTATGACTCTTGAGTTCATTAGGGAAGCATTTCCGGAAACAGCTGAGATACTACCAAAGTCACATTCTGAGGCCAAAAGAATAATGCGTGAACTAGGTTTTGGCTATATTTGTATACATGCTTGCAAAAATGATTGTATTATTTTCTGGAAAGAGCATGAACATAAAGATAAATGTCCAGAATGTGGGGAATCTAGATATAAATTCAATGAAGGTAAGGGTAAGAGAATTCCTCATAAGGTTCTTCGATACTTTCCAATCAAACTGAGGCTACAAAGATTATTTATGTCAAGGAAGACAGCGAAAGATATGAGGTGGCATAAAGAAAAACGTGTAAAAGAAGTTGATGTATTCAGAGACATCCAGCTGATTCTATGGCTTGGGAGGAATTTGACAAAGAGCATGATTGGTTTTCTAATGATCCTCGCAATGTTCGACTTGGACTAGCTAGTGATGGTTTCAATCCATTTGGCAACATGAGTAATTCCTATAGCATGTGGCCGGTTATGCTTATGCCATACAATTTACCTCCATGGAAATGTATGAAAGAACCATTTTTATTTATGTCGTTGCTTATTCTTGGACCGAAGTCACCTGGAAATGACATTGATGTGTATCTAAGACCATTGATTCATGACTTGAAAGATCTGTGGGAAAACGGTGTGGTTTCATATGATGCCTTTATTGGAAAAAAAACTTTCGTTTGCATGCAGCTGTGATATGGACTATAAATGATTTTCCTGCATTTGCATACTTATCCGGATGGATGACTAAGGGATACATGGCATGTCCAGTTTGCAACGAGGATGCATGTTCTTTAAAATTAAAGCATGGACAAAAGATATGTTACATGTGTCATCGTTGGTTCTTGTCGCTTAATCATGCTTGGAGGAAACGTAAAAAAGAATTTGACGATAAGAAAGAGGATAGGTTACCACCAAATGAGTTAACTGGAAATGACTTGTTGGAACAATTGTTTGGTCTACAACCTGACAAATTTGGAAAGGGAACCAATAATAAAAAGAGAAAACGTACTCCAAATGAATTGAACTGGACAAAGAAGAGCATATTCTTTGAGTTACCATATTGGGGATCCCTTAAGTTACGACACAATTTGGATGTCATGCACATTAAGAAAAATATTTGTGATAATGTGTTGGGAACATTGATGAACATTAGTGGAAAAATCAAAAGATAATGTGAAAGCTCGCCTTGATTTAGAGGCAATGGGAATTAGAAAAGAGCTGCATCTTATTCGAAATGGAGATAAATTTATGATGCCATCAGCACGCTACACTTTATCAATAGAAAAGCAAAGGAGCTTTTGTGAATGGTTGAAGTCGGTGAAGTTTCCGGATGGATATGCATCAAACATATCTCGATGCGTACATGTTAAACAGTGTAAGATCTTTGGCTTGAAAAGTCATGATTCACATGTTCTTTTGCAATATCTTCTACCTATTGCAATTCCTGGGTACTTGGATGTTGATATTTCCAATGCATTAATTGAGTTGGGATTTTTTTTCAAAGAGTTGTGTTGTAGGACTTTGAAATTGGAAATCCTTGAGCAATTAGAAAAAGACATTGCGGTTACACTTTGTAAGTTCGAAATGATCTTTCCTCCAGCATTTTTTGACGTAATGGTTCATTTAGCTGTTCATTTGCCACATGAAGCTATCCTTGCAGGACCTATGCAATATAGATGGATGTATCCAATTGAAAGGTGTTGTAAAATTTGTATTCTTATATTTTCTGTTGTTGTCATTTTTAATTTAAATGTATAATACCTTTAAATTAATTATTGGTGTGGTAACATATGTAAATAGGTTTCTTTTCACTTTAAAACAATATGTACGAAACAAAGCTCGTTCGGAAGGTTCAATTGTTAAGGCTTACATAGATAGTGAATGTATTACATTTTGCTCTATGTATCTCCGAGGGGTTGAGACAAGATTTAATCAAGAAGAACGAAATTGTGACAGAGGGCATCAACAAGGAGATTTCTCTGTTTTTAGACCAATTGTTCGTCCATTGGGATCTGAAACTTATGAGATAATGGATATGACTGATCTCGCTAAAGCTCGATTTCATGTGCTTAAAAATTGTGACGAAATACAACCTTATTTTGAGTAAGAACAAGAATTATATCCATATAGTTATATTGCGTATGACTTTTTTTTTTTTATACATTAACATGGCATATGTTAATTATATAGAATCGTATGGAAGATCTACAAAGAGAAGATCCGAACAATGTACAACTAAAGCATACACAACAATTCACTAAATGGTTTGAAGAACAAGTAAGTATTTGTTTAGGTTATGTGGAACCATTATGTGTAATATACATATAAATATATAAATTTTATTAATGAAACTAAGGATTATTCATTTTTTATTTCTGTTAATAGATCCAACAACTCCATCAAAATGACCCATCCAAAGTGAGTGATGAGTTGTATTCATTGGCATGTAAGACCAGACGAACGAGTAAAACGATACAATGGTTGCACTGTCAATGGAATTCAATTCCATAGCAAGGAACGGGATAATTATCGAAAAACTCAAAATAGTGGTGTCGTTGTGGAAGGACAACACGAGTCAGAAAATATTGAATTCTATGGTGTCATAGTAGATGTTATAGAGTTAGAATATTGTATGGGGAGACGGGTTTTTCTTTTCAAGTGATTGGTGGAATGTTGGCAAAAAGAATGGAATGCGCAAAGATTCCCATTCGATCACTAGTGTTAATGTCTCTTAGAAATGGTATGAGAATGACCCTTTTGTTCTTGCATCCCAGGTTCAACAAGTTTTTTATGTAAGTGATACTAAATTATGTGGACAATGGCAAGTAGTGCAGAAAATCTAACCACGAAAATTGTTTGATGTTGCCGAGGTGGAAGATGAAAGTGAAGCTATGAAAAGTGATACTCTTAATACCTATCAAGAATATGAACAATGTGAAGTTGATCGGGTTATCCCAAATGTGGAGGATGTGGATATGTTGCCTTTGAATAGAGATGTCATGTTGTTGGACACTATTGATGTTGATATTGTTCATGGTAACATGACATTAGATGAAGGAGATGATAATTTTTTTGATGATGACACTGAAGGAGAAGAAGATATATCTATCCATTATAGTACAGATGAGGAAGTAACAATGCTTAGTGATGATGACACTGATGCGGATGATATAATGTAACCTTCATCCACGATTGGTGGATCAAAGATGAAGCCTTTTCTATAGCTATTTCTATTGCATGTTTGGGATCTTCTCTATATCTTTAGTCTTACTTTATTAGACTTGTTAGCCATTGTCAGTGCTTAATGTTTTGTAATAGTTCATCTTTTATTTTTGGTCTTTATTGGAAATAGGTTTCTCGATCTTTGTTTTGTAATTGAAAGGGAGGTATGTCTCCTCTTTTTGTAATTTTATTTTTCATATATAAAATCATTCCTTTCATGAAAAAAAAAATGTAATCTTAATTCATCATGTACCTTGGTAAGCTTCTGTTTCATGAGTTAATGTTGAAATGTATTGCAACTTTTAATATTTCTTTTCATAGTATGCAGATTTTCAGAATATATGGCTCCAGGTCGTAGATCACTGAAAGTTGTCACATGTTATTCTCCGGATCCCATTCCACTTACCGCAAGTCCAGATGTTGTTGCTCTATCCACTGACTCTCCTTCGAAACCCAGTCCACTTACCACGAGTCCAAATCTTGTGGCTTCATCCACCGACTCTTCTTCTGATTGCGGTAACATCATAGCTTTTAATATAATTAGTAAATTATAAGTATTTATGCATGGGTAGAGTCGAGTTGAGTTATGGTTTATTCCACTACTGTATTACCTTTAGTATCACATTCATGCTTGTCTTTTCTAATTCTTAGTTACCTAGTTGATTAAATTAAGAGCTTCTAACACTAGTTTTTTCTATAGTTCCTCCAATGTTTGTAAATCGTCGAGGAAAATCAAAGAACTGTTCACTAAATACCTATCGGAGTAAGAACAATTTAGTCTTAATAGAAATTGAGATTCTACCAGGGATATGGAAGCCTGTCAATGGTTGGAGCAAAGAGTGGACAACTGAATTGGGAATCCAGGTTCGGCAATATGCGCCATATCATAAGAATTGGAAGCATATACTGCAAGCTAAGAAAGAGTTGATTTATAAAATTATAAAGGTACATAGTTTGTTTAATTCTTATTGCTTAAATTTATGAATGACTATTGCATTAAAACTTATATGTTAAATAATAAGTGGGCTATTTTTTCAGGGTAAATTCAAAATGAGATGAGGATCCCCATATCATGAGATGTATTGATAAGCAACTGAAAAAACAATTGAAGGATTTCAGATGCAGGCTACATAGACATTTTCTCAAGTTTTCCCCAGAGGAGGTGCACTCTCATCCTTATAAATCTATCACTCAAGAAAACTGGGATCTTGTATGCAATAGGTTTATGTCTGAACAATTTAAGGTGAGTTCAGTTGTTTTATATGCCTATATTTTGGTATTTTCTGTTGTCTTCTTGTGACTAATGCTATTGGGGTATGGGTGGTGTGTAATGTGGTCTTGTATTATTTATTTGAAAAGTTTTATTGCCTCGCAAATAGCCATAAAAAGATTTTTGCTAATGCCTTTTCAATATTACAGACAAGATGATTCAATTACTGTTAAACGATTTTTATACATCCCATTTGGAAAAAAAAAAAAAAAAAAGAGAAAAAAAAAAGACGACAGTCATCTTCTTAACTAGTAGCTTTTATCTTTAGTTATCAGATTTTATGAATGTATTCAGAGCACAATCATGAACCTTCTAATGATCTCCAAGACATTAAAACTATCAATCAAGAAATAAAAAATTTATAAAAGTTTAGATGGATCTTTATAAAAAATCTGCATAACATAAGGAAAATAATGCCAGTTCTTCTGAGTTGAATTGGCTTAATATATTTTGTTTTCATTTGCATTTTTTTCTTTTTTTCTTTTGAGTTTTAAGAGCATCATCATATTGCTTTGGCAGTAGAAGAAATTGTTAAGAATAAAAAGATTCTTGTTTTCTCTCTTTTTATTTTATTTTTTTTGGTCGAACAGTTCAGTAATCTCTGGACTTATAATTGAAATCAAGCATCTTTCTTTGACTGGATTTATGTAGTTTGATGGTGTTCTTTACCATAGTATATTTGAATTCTTGATGTAGATGCTGCTCTGTTCTTATTGCTTTGAGTGTACTCTAGTCACTAGTTATCTCATCCTGAAAAAAATGATGTAAGGGTGATGGGTGATGGGGCCTTCCTCCTTTTTATCTGAAAATTCAGCAAACGGGGCATTGCTTTCGATGTAGGGGCAGCTCTTTTTACCAGCAGATTGCATTCCCTTGCGCTTGCTACATAGTATTTTGCTCTTTTTTTTTTTAGACAGCCACATGCTGGTTTTTCGAATAGTCTAGCTTAGTATTATGCTACTATATATATATGTGTTGATGAACAAAATTTAAACATTTTGAATGTAGCGAGGAAGTAAGACAAACAAAAGGAATAGGGAAAAGAATAAAGTCCCGCATCGTGGTGGATTGAAATCATTTGTTTGATGTCATGAAGAGCTGGTATCATTTGATATTTCTTTAAATATGTCTTAATTCTTTTGTAAGTCTAGTTAATAAATTAATAAAAATTCTTTTGTTATTTGTAATTATATAGCGGGATGCCGAAACACAACAACTTCCTAGCAGGATCAAACTCTATGAGAAGACACATTTTCATCCGGATAAAGGCTGGAGCTGTCCGCGTGCTAAAGAGCTTTATGCAAAGAAACCTTTTATTTATTTTTTTTCTATCCTTCCATGTATCAATCTATTGCTCTAACAAAATTTACCATTAGTTAAATTATAGGATACCATGGTTGCAAAACTCCAAGAATCTCAATCAGTTGGAGACAATGATTCTCCAATGATTGAGGATGATATTGTAGATGAAGTTCTTGGTACGACATCAACTTATGTGGATGGCCTCGGACATGGCGTGATAGCTTCATCTTCTAATTCTAGCCTACGTGAGCAAATCGTGGTGGCTAACAAGAGAAATGTTATATTGGAGTCTGAAATTGAAGCTCTTAAGAGGGATGCTATGGAGAAAAATGCTCTTCTAGAGTTAGAGACTGAAAAGGCTAATAGAGAGGCTTCAGATGCTAAAAGAGAGGCTGCCAAAGCTGTAGAGCAATGCAGCAAAATGGCCGAAATGTATAAGGTCATCATGGAAAAGCTCAATAATACTAACTAAAGGTCATCACAGAGTTTAATTTTCTTTTTCAATTCAATACTCATTAATAGTTTATTTTTAAGAGCACTAAAGATTGCGTAAGTTCAATAACTTAATAGTTTTGTATAAGTATATATCTTGATCTGTGGTTTATAGGAGTCATGTAGTTTATAAGAATTAATTACTTTATTACTTTATGCAGGTTGGACCGGAATGTAGGTAAGAAGCTCTTTTTGATTTGCCATATTTACAGGGAACTTTTGATCACAAGTCAGTGCCTCCAATTGATTCATCACCATCTTTTGTTGCTCTAATCAAGCATGTTAGTGATAATGCAATTGACATGCCATGGATATTTGTAATGGAGTTGTTTTGGATATAATTAAGTCTTATTTTGTTATAGATTTGCTTTAGATATATGTAATATTTGTGTATAGGTAGGATTTGTAGTATATATATATATATATATATATATATACATGTTAGATAGTTTTTGTTAAATGGCAGGATAGTTTTTGTTAAATGTCCATATATTTTGACTCTTGTTATGAACTTTGTTTGGGCATTTATATATATAATGGTGCATAGGCAGCTTTTTCTATTCAAATGTTACAATTATATATTAAGGATGTAAAAATATTTTTTTTGTTAAAAGTGTTATAACTATATATAATGCAAAAGGTGGTCATTTATCATATAATATGGTTCTAAAAGATGTGTAAGTAAATATATAAATGCATTTTTTAAACAATGTGTAATTTTGCGACAATATTTATGATTTAAAAAATAATTCTTTTGTGACAAAAAAAAAATTCGTAATCGACGACAAAAAGAAAAAGGTCATAAAAGACAACTTTTTGTGACCAAACTAGATGGTTGCAAAATAACAGCTCTTTTGCGACCAAATGTTATTTTTGCGACAAAAGGTTTTGGTCGCAAAAGGAGACATCTTTTGCGATCAAAAGTTTTGATCGTAAAAAATTTGGTCGCAAAAGGAGTAGCTCTTTTACGACTAAAAGTTTTGGTCGCAAAAAGGAGACCTCGTTTGCGACCAAACATTTTGGTCGCAAAAGGGGACCTCGTTTGCGGCCAAAACTTTTGGTCACAAAAGGAGACCATCGTTTGGGACCAAAACTTTTGGTCGCAAAAGACGTCTCCTTTTGCGACCAAAAGTTTTGGTTGCAAAAACAATATTTGGTCGCTATTATAGTTGGTCGCAAATAGGGATACATTAGCGACCAACTCATTTTTTAGTCGCAAAAAAGTAACAGTGTCGCAGGTATTGTCGACCACTGTGCGACCAAAATATTTTGGTCGCAAAAACACAGTTGCGACCAATTAAGGTCCTTTTGCAACTAAATATTTGGTCACAAAAAGGCCTATTTGTTGTAGTGAAATTAGTATTAAGGAGAACTCAAGTAGATATGTTCAATGAAAGACAAAGTTTAGAGCATTAGAAATCCCTACCTCAAGTGTGCTAGCCAAACAAGCCCTTAGGCCTCTTTAGCTTGAGGCATTGTAGTATATAGATGTATATAGATATGGTGAGAGAAAGAGAAGAGATAGAGAATGAAACCGCTTGGCCGAAATGGGAAGAGGAAAGAGGGGTTGGTTTGGTCTTGCAAATGACCTCATGGTCCTAAGTGTGCCACTTGTCAACCTCTTAATGATCCTAGCTTTTTACTAAGTTACTCATTTGCCCTCACTTAACCAATGCAATGCCATCCATATACCCAAAATATCTTTTCAATGTATAGATATATGTCTATGTATATGTGTGTGAATAGATCACAATGCCCCTCACTGCAATGGCAAAACCGGGAGAAGTTCCCGAGGCCACAAATTGTCGTGACTTTCGAAAATATTCTAAAAATGATCTCGTCAATTCTAATTGGATTGAAATAATTAAAGATATATTTCTAAAACTCTCAGCTTGACAAATGCCCTAAATGGCCATCGGGACCCGGATGGCACGCAAAACGATACACAAAAAATCAGTAAAGAAAAATTCAAAAAAAAAAAAAAATCACAAGAATCTGGGACAATATAAACTCGGTCCTTATAGAGGGTAGAGAAGAAGAGAGGAAAAATGTGAGAGTGAAAGAAGAAAAGTAAAGAGAGAATTGAAGGTGCAAAGAGCGCCTTGAGGATGCCTTGAGGATGATCAGTAGAGTGATGTAGTCTCATAGAAATGTGAGTATGTGGGGGTAGAGATGATGTTGTGTGGTAAACACCGATGGCAAGCGGAGGTCTCATGGAGTGGTAGATCGTGGAAGGCTCAGGTATCTGACACCATGCCTTAGTATTGAGATTGTGTGGACATGATCCATTGTTCGAAATATCTACCGATATAATAGTGAGTGTGTGTTATTTACCATTGTAATTTCTCTTCTGCATGTAATAATGAATGGTGAAATCTCTTCTCTGTGTGGACATAGGCCAGGTGGGGCTGAACCACTTTAAATATTGTGTGTATTTGCATGCATGTTTGTATCTTTTGTATGTTGTGTGGTGTTTAGATCTCCATTTTGTTTGTGTTGCTTCCGTTGTGCTGAATGAAGGAGGGATTAATTCCTAACTGTAATCATTGTGGATAATCAATCAATCACAAAAATTGGGCAAGTTAACCTATTCACCCCATTCAGGCCATTTAGAGTACTAATCACAAGTTATTCAACAGAACAGCTTTGACACCGCGCTGCACACAAATAATTTGAATTTTTCAAGTGATATGAGAATGAAACTGCTATACTATATTGCATTTTTCTTGTTACGCCCATCCTTGTGGCAATAGGTTACTCTTGATTAATATGTACAACAAGAAATATTACATGCAAAAAAAAAAGTTATGAACTTTGAAAAGATTATTGAGGGTCAATAATGCAACTATATCTCATATTGATCTATTAGTCCAATTTGCTAATAAAGAAAAGAGAAGACTATCGCCATCATCTAGTGCCACTATAATCTGGTCCCTTATGCTATCATACCCAATAGTTGTACTTGTAGTACAACCATTATGGCCATCAACAACACCTTTGTAGCCGTCTGAAGGTAAACTGTGAATAAGCAATTGTTCAGTCTCTTCAGTATGCAAATCTACTTCAATCAATGGATGCCTCTCCATCATTCGGATAATTCCCTCTAGCTCCGTTGCGACTTCCTTCATGGTAGGCCTATCCTCTCCATTTACCCTTAAGCACCTCTTTGCCAGCTTAGCAACTTCTTTGAGCTCATCAAAACTTCTATCATTCAACATTCTTTTGTCAAGAATATGAAACAAGCGATCCTCTTTCATCGAAGAAACAAAGTACATTGCTAGGTTCCTATCCTTCTCTTGCCTGTCAAAAGAAATGGCCTTCTCTCCAATAAGTAGCTCAGCAAGGACAACTCCAAAGCTATATACATCGCTCTTCTCAGTCAATTGGCTTGCCAACGTGGTAAGTTGAGTATGACCCAAAGGGACCAACCTTGAAGCTCCAAAGTCAGACACTTTTGCAGCATAAATATTGTCGAGTAGTATGTTGGTACTCTTAATATCTCAATGAATGATTGCAGGCGAAGTTGCTGAGTGCAAGTATGCAAGTGCTCCAGCAGCTTCGGCTGCTATCTTCAAACGGATTTCCCATGAAACTATGGTGGCGCGGTCTTCATTGTGAATATGGTCAGACAGTGTTCCATTTGTGATGAACTCGTAAACTAGTAACAGGACTTCTGTCTCTAAACAACAACCTAAAAGCTTCATCACATTTCGATGGTTGATTTGGGAAAGAACAACCACCTCATTGATGAATTGTTCAATCTACGTTTAATCACTTACTTTGGATTTCTTGATTGCAACAATTCTATCATCTGATAAGACCCCTTTGTAAACTGTTCCAAAGCCACCTTGACCTATTATTCTAGTTTCTTCGTAGTTGTTGGTAGCCTTTTTAGATCTTCCGTAGTAAAGATTCTAGCTGTTTCGACTGAACCTTCATGTTTGGAGAGTTGTTGTTGAAGCATTATTCCACCATTTTGCTGGAAGAACTTTTCTCTGAGTTTGATAAGATTTCTTTTCCTGAGTATCCAATATACCCAACCACTGCCCACTACAAGTGCAAGAAGGCCTATGCTTATACCTGAATTTAACATGAATGAAAAGTCACTACCAATTCAATCCATTGTCATAGAGGGAAAAACATTACTAAGAAATATCAACCCAAAATATAACAAATGTAGGTTTAAAATTTTAATAAATATGACTGAGTTTAGAAAGCAGGATTTCAATTCTGAATTGTGTTGGTTCTTGAAGAATTTTTATTTTGTTTTTTTCTTCTTTCATACAAAACTCACACACCCATATGTCGATCCCTCTTTTTCCACTTTAAGGGGTAGAGACACCATTAGGCTAGATCTGGGGAATGATAATCTCAGTACTTGGTAGTTTATTATGGGTGTTTCAATTATAAATAATTACACTTGAAAATACAGAAGAAATCAAGTAATTTTAGTCTTTTTCAATTTTAATATTATTTATTTATTTATTTTTTTGTTGTTTGGATGCCAGGATGACTACGAAAACAGAAGAGGAAAAATCAGCCTTAAATCTAAATAACATATGTGATTTTGCTTCAGAGATTGATTTTAAACCTCAGTGGACAATTAATAGGATTCTACTTTAATTTGACAATAACATATGAAGAAAAGTTAGGTGAATGATTATGGCCAAGAAACCCATTCTGAAAATTAAACGCCGATATTCTTGAAATTTTCATTCCATGTACTTCACAAAAGCTACTGATGAATATCGGTTACGTTTGTTGACCAAACATCGGAAGTCTAATGTGATTCGGTTACGTTTGTTGACCAAACATCGGAAGTCTAATGTGATTTTTCTTCCTAATAGTACCAAAAATAATATACAAGCTAAACACCAAGTTGCTCAATATGCGTTAACTCGGTCAACATTTTGAATATAAATGTTCTCACCAACATTTGGAATAGAGGATTTGAATGTGTCTAATGGTAGACTAGGATTGTTCTAAGAGAACACCACATTCATAAACAAAATAAATAAATAAATAATTTCTTTAACAATTCGATCAAAACTATTCAGTCTAGGATCAGGCTCATTAGGATGTTATTATATTTTAACCTTTTAACAATAATTTTTAAATATGGTTGACATTTCTTGTGCATATGATAGAGGAAGTTGTTAACAAGTTACTATCTATCCTTGTTTAATTATCAAAGTCAAGAAAGATGAAATTTACAAGGAACTAAACATATAATTATAGTTTCTTGCTTACGTTATGCAGAAGATGAACTTGACAATAACCGCGTGATATACAAAAATAAAGAATCACTCGTAAATAAACATATCAAAAACTTACCTAAAGCAATATGAATCAAGGTAGATCCTTCAGATTGATCTTTGGGATAGCATCCTGTTCCGTTTTTTGTTCCATCGCCTTCGTACCCTTTTAAGCAACCACATGAAAAAGTCCCAGGCAAATTCGGGGCATTTGCCGTATGTTCCGTTGCAGGGTTTTGAAGTTTCACATTCATTGATATCTGAAAATAAAAAATAAAAAATGGTGGGCTTGCATTTGGAACACAAGAACAAATTTCATACTTACCGAAAATAAAAAAATAAAAAAATAAAAAAAAGAAGAAGCACGAGAACAACAAATTACATTCTCAAAAACAAATTTCATGTTCAACCAACAAAGATATATTTAAGATGAAATATTCCTACATATATACTAAACCAATGTATATATGTTACCTTGGCAACCATCAATGAGATAAGGGTTCCCTTGATAACCTGATGTGCAACTGCAACGATACCCAGGTCCTTTGGTTGAATTGAGGCATTGTGTCACGGGCTTAGAGTTTCAGCACCACTCTAGCTGCTGCCGTGCGGCACCAAGATGTTGCTTCCACTCTCGCAAGTACTTGGTCAGCCTAATTCCCGTGCACACCTTAGCCAACACACTCCCCTCGTGCGCTTACTAGTGTTGTAGTTGCCCTCGCCCTCTCCTCACTTGGCTTGCACACTCACACACACTAAGGCACTTAAGTTGGCAAGGAAAGAACACTTCTATTACTTCAAAGAATGCTTTGTACAAGGCTAACACTCAAGCTCTCTACAAGGCTCTCAAGACTCACTCCAGGACTTGTTCCCTACAAAATGAAGTCCTACCTCTATTTATAGGCATCCCGATCCCTAATGGACGGTTAGGATGCATTCTAACCAACGGTGGAGATTGATTATCTAGAATCTTCTCCCACCTTCTTCACACTTCCATACTTATCTACTAGTATCTACAACATTCTAGAATTCTCCATACTACTTCACACAACTCTGGAGAACTCTAGAACCTTCCACACACTTCTACACATTTCTACACATATCTAGAATCTTCCACGTAACTCTAGACTATTCCGGAAGACTCTAGAAACTCCACTTGCCATGCAGCGTCCTCCTCAGCGTCTGCGTGTCGCCTGCGTGGCACAACCTCCATAGGCGGGGCGTGACATTCTCCCCCACCCATTTCCGTGACGCCCTCGTCACGGTTTCTTCAGCTGACCCAGCCTCTCGCAGGTCATCAGCACTTGCGCATATGTCCTTGGCCCAAACGTACGAGCGCCCTTCGGGAGATGTGAAGTCCTCACGAGCTCCATCGTGTTGACTGCCACCTCTGGACTCTCCTTCCTGCCCACGAGCGGCACCATACATGCGGCCTTGCCTTCCTCGCCTCCAAGTATCATCAACGCACCAAGGCATGGTAGTGGCGCGGCGTTGTTCCTGTCCATGAACTCCAGCCCCAGCACCATGTCGTGGTCGTCCATCTCCGCAACTTGGAAGTCAGCCTTGCCCTTCCATCCTTGCATGCATAGCTCCACCTCCTTGCACACTCTACTCACGCGTGCCTCCTCGGAGTTGACGGCCTTGATCCAGCCCTCCGTCTTGCGCATCTCCAAGCCAAGTCGTTGCGCCTCCTCCGGGGTAATGAAGTTGTGTGTAGCACCCGTGTCTACCAACGCTTGCACGGCTTTGCCACCAACCTGCGCATCCACATAGCGCACCCCAGCTACCTTCTTTGCCTTGCCCTTCTTCTTGGTGTCATGCGCCATGCTACTCAGCATCTACATAGCCCCCATGCACCTGTCTTCGTCGCTGCCCGTATCGTCCACCTTACCCTTGCCCTTATCTTTCACAAGGGCGCTCATGGTCTTCTTGTTGGGGCAATGTCGCAATATGTGCGGCCCTTCGCACAAGTAGCACTTCGGCTCCCACTTGCCCTTATCGCGGCGCTCCCATTTTCCACTAGCCTTGGACCTCTCTCCACGGTCCTTGCCCTTATCATGGCGTGGGCGTCTCTCCTCATCGTTGTGCTCATCATCACTGGACTTGGACGAGCCACGTTTCTTAAAGCGCTGGTCTCCCCCACCTTTGCCGTGGTCCCTCCTGGGAGACATGGCCCTCTTGTCATCGTGCCTAAAGTCTTCAAGGCGCTCCGCTATAGCCATTGCGGATGCCAAGTCTCTAGGCTCCCTCCTTCTCAGCTCTGTGGCTACCCAAGACTGTAACCCATCAATGAACAAGCACACGCGTTGCCGCTCCGGCATATCTGGGATCTCCAACATCAAGTTGGAGTACTCCTTCACATACTCCCTTATGCTGCCCTTCTGCTTCAGGCGCCTTAGGTTGATCATGGCGAGGTCCTCAACGCACTCGGGATAGAACTGCCTCTTGAGCTGCCTCTTAAACTCCTCCCATGTGTCAACTGCTCTTGCGCCTCTACCGGTGAAGCGCTGCCTCCACCATAGAGCGGCAGTGTCCGTGAGGTACATAGTGCCTGTCTGCACCTTCTCCTCATCATCCTCGATCTCCATGCACTCGAAGTACCGCTCCATGTGCCAGAAGAAGTTGTCAATCTGGTGCGCATTCCTTGCCCCATCGTACTCCTTGGGCTCCGGCGCCTTCTTCTTCCTTGGCTTCACCACGACCTCGCGCGCCTGAGAGAACTCCTTCTTGCACTCGGCAATCTCCATGCGCAAGTCGTCTACCCGATCATGCAAGTCCCTTTCTTTCTCTTGCGCCTTGTTGGCGATGCCATCAATCAGCTCGTAGAGCTCCACCATCCTTCTCTCGAGCCTATTAAACTTAGTCTCCGTGTAGACCAAGTGTGTGGCAAGCTTCTCCTCCAAGCTCTGCTCTAAGATGTGGACTTGGTGGTCTCCTCTAGCCATGTCTACTCCAACAAAGCTCCCTTGACGAACCTGCTCTGATACCAACTGTCACGGGCTTAGAGTTTCAGCACCACTCTAGCTGCTCCCGTGCGGCACCAAGATGTTGCTTCCACTCTCGCAAGTACTTGGTCAGCCTAATTCCCGTGCACACCTTAGCCAACACACTCCCCTCGTGCGCTTACTAGTGTTGTAGTTGCCCTCGCCCTCTCCTCACTTGGCTTGCACACTCACACACACTAAGGCACTTAAGTTGGCAAGGAAAGAACACTTCTATTACTTCAAAGAATGCTTTGTATAAGGCTAACACTCAAGCTCTCTACAAGGCTCTCAAGACTCACTCCAGGACTTGTTCCCTACAAAATGAAGTCCTACCTCTATTTATAGGCATCCCGATCCCTAATGGACGGCTAGGATGCATTCTAACCAACGGTGGAGATTGATTATCTAGAATCTTCTCCCACCTTCTTCACACTTCCATACTTATCTACTAGTATCTACAACATT